GAGTAGATTGCAAAACAACATTTTTGTACAATTTTCCTTCAAGTGGCCCTAAATTTTCATCAACTCTCACAAGTTACCCCCAAGCACTCTGTATTCCAGCCACACAGAACTACTAATACATCTCTATACCTGTGCCAGACTCTCTCTCCTATGTCTTTGCTCAAAGTATCTTCCCAGCCTGAATATCCCACTGCTTTCCCATTTTTCTTTGAATTCCTCTCCATTCTTGGCCTTGAATACCAGGTGAACTACTGGCTTGCAGTAAAATGGGCGGCATTTCTAAGATCAAATATAAATATTAGAACCGCCAGATTTGGAACTGGTGACCGAAGGCCTGTGGGTTATCAGACAGCATATTAAAGTTTGAGCCTGTAGTTACTAATATCTTCATCACTGTTATAATGTGAGAAAACAGAGGCTACCAAGTGTCCTGTACGTCATGATGTCATCACTTATAAAAGGGAATTAAATGGTGGAGAGCTGAGAGATGCAGCGTTTTCTATAAGCATCCTTGGAAAATCACAGAGTGAACATCAGTGATGCGTGACCAAAGGACAATCAGATCAGCTCCACTACTTATACAGATAGAACAACAATCTGAGCCATTCTGTAGGCAGTCATATGGCTCCCGTACTTTCTGATTGTGCTACCACAGTCATTTTGAATAGTAATAGTAGGCTCATTTATCCTAGAAGTACTGTGTATCTTTTACCAGATGGTTTTATTACCAGGCACTTTTTAACCAACATGTAAAATAGTGGTGAAGCCCGGTGGCATGGATTTGAATTCCAACTCTGGCAGAGATTCCTTTTGTTATTTGGTGCAAGTTACTGAACTCTTAAGTTTTGGTCTTAACATTTGTAAAGTAAGAGTATTTTCTTCATTGAGCTGCTATGGAATTTAAATGACATTTAGTTTGTAAAGCTCATAGTGGTAAGTACTCACTAAATGTCAGCCTTAGTAATAGTGATAATAATGCAGAGCCTGGTGTTAAAATGGGATGGTGTTGGGTGGGGTCACATCACTGCTGCTACTGGACGGGTCATTGGTGCAGTCTTTGGGCTCCTCTGCTCTTCTCTTTCCATAACGTCAGCCAAGGGCAGGTTGCTCTGCCTTCTCATCTCTCCTGAACCAGGAGGGGGCTTCTCCTTTGGAGGGTACCACTCAGCTCCTCCAGCAGGTGTTTATTGAGAGTCCACTATGAGTTTGGCACTGAGCTGTGTCCTGGAAGTAAACAGCCCCCTCCCTGAGGACTTTATGATCCATGAAGGGAGACAAACACATAAACAGATCTCTTCGATGATCAAAGCAAACTTAATTAAGATAAAAGCTCATCCATGGGCCCAGAATTGGATTTAAACGAATGTAAAGGGTTTGCTGGCTGCGCTGCACTGTGTAGCATAGTATATTTGAATAGTCTTAATCCTAGATTATTTATGTTAGAGTCACGAGGTGATCTTGTTGGTCATAAAGATGCTTTATGCGAGCTGTGGAAGAGAGAAGAGTTTTGCTGCTCTGGATGTCAGATGCCCGAGGAACTAGAAAACAGGGCTGAGAGGATGAGGCAAACTTGTGGCAACCTTGTGTATAAAATCAGGAAGTGGGGATCCAAGAGGTTTTATTCAAGCTAGGCAGATTTTGAAATTGGGACCCTGTAGAAGTCATCATTGCAGCTTTGGAGTATGAGGCACGAATACATACCAGCCATTCTTAGCAAAAAATAAAAAGACTAATAGATCAATAACAGTGCTGTGTTCATTTGGCTAATATTTAAGTCACTAAATCTGTTAGTGGAAATTAAGAATAAGCTGTAAATGTGTTGGGAAATATTATATTGGGAGAAGCACTCCCAGCTTTGAGGTATATTAGACAAAATAAAGGCTAGGAATGGATTTGGATTCATATGCTGACTCTTCCACTTTCTGGATATTTGAGTCTTTGTTTTCTTACCTGTAACATGGGCATGATACCAGCATTCATAGCATCCCAGTAGGAATTAAAATCTCTTTCTAGGGCTGGTCTGTTGCTTAATTCTGTAGTTCTCTCTCTTGAGACAATGTGATTACTGGAGAGGAATAGCTATCTCCAACATTTTTAAAAAAGTGTTCTCATTCAACTTGGACATATAGACATTACAATATAGCCCACAAAGCAAGATTCTGAAGTCAAAAGCAACTGTAAAATAAGCATATGTATTATTTAAAAAAGAACCAAGGCCATATGTATTCAGTATTCTAAATTCTGCTGCCTTAATTGCCTGTAGGTAGAGGGAGGGGGGAGGGATTGGTGCAACTACAACAGAATTTCTCATTGGTTAGAGAAGCCACAGATATACCTCTTAAATGATACCCTTATCCAGTTCTGATGGCAGGTCGGCATCACTTCTGCTTCAAGACTCATGGGCTTTGAGATGATTTCAGTTTAGTCTTTGTAATGGTGGTCTCTGGACATTTCCAGAGATGTTGCATGCAAGTGTGTTGTTATTTACCCATTTGTCATCCTCACCTATTGAATGTCACAAAAACACGTGACTTAGTGATCATTTTTGTTTTTTGTTGCCTTCTCTGCTCTTTTCGGTGTGAGAACTATGCAGGTCTCTGCTGCTGCAGTGAGTGATGAACTTTACATTAAAAAGAGAAAGAAAAGAAAGAAACTTGTGATTGTCACCATTCCTAAGTGTCTGAGCCGCAGCCCCTGGGGACAGATATTTAGAGAAGACACACAGATCACAAAGGACTTGCAATAGCTTACAAGTTTGATGAAGCCAAGGCACAGTGACTGTTTTGCTGAATTTTATGGTCATTCCTTTTGTGTTTACGTTGCTTTTCTAAAATACTTAAGCCTTCATTAACTGAAATTGTGGGTTTAATTGACATTTGTCAGCCTAGAATATTGGATTTGGGAGCCTTGTAGCCCATTAGGTCTTCCATTGACTTAGAGTTACTTTAGGTGTAGCTTGATCTTTGTACTTTTAGCCATGTACCCATATAAATTTTCCCTGTGCTAGAGAAGAATGTATTATATGGCAGAGCTAATAGAATCATCTCTAGAGAAGAATGTGTCTTGAGAAGGAAGGTATTCGGGGATGACATCCCTGGGGCTGGGCTCTAGGCTGGGAAAACGCCTGGGGCTGATCTGGCTGCCTGCAGGGGCTGGAGACCAGGACTTGGGGTCAGACTCCAGAGGCTCAAATCAGAGCTCTCCTGCTGGATGACTTCTGGAAGTTACATAATCTGTGTGAGCTTCAGTTCCCTGCCTGCAAACAAAGTGATGCCTATTTCAGAGGGTTGTTCTGAGGAAAATGAAATAACAATGCATGCAGACATCCAACACGGAGGCTGGATGTCATATACTGCAGGCTTTGTAAGAGTCCCTCTTTTCTCTCTCAGTTCTAGATACATTGAGAAGGAAGAAAAAAGAATTGGCAGATTGTGGTGCAATCTTTTCTTTATTATTATTGTTTTTATCCTGGGCTTAGTCAGCTTTATTATTGGGGGGAAAAGGGAAATACAGCTTAGACTGAGTACCAGATAGGCTTACCAAAATGGAACCCCAGAACCCCAGAATTAGGCAAAATCACCCAGCCACAGTTCTAGTGGATCTAGAAGGCTTAATATGTGTGGTGTGTGTGTGTGTGTGTGTGTGTGTGTGTGTGTGTGTGTGTGTGTAGGTTGGCTCGCAAAAAGGAAAGAGAAGCTAAGATAGGGTCTGGAAATCAGAATTTTAGATATATTTTTAAAATTGATTTTAGGGAGAGAGGAAAGGAGAGTGAGAGATAGAAATATCAATGATCAGAGAGAATCATCCATCAACTGCCTCTTGTATGCCTCCCTACTAGGGATTGTGCCCACAATTTGGGCATGGCCCTGACCGGAATTGAACCATGACCTCTTGTTCATGTGTTGATGCGCAACCACTGAGCCACACTGGGTGGGCTGGACATCAGAATTTTAAGGAAGTTTCTCCATTTCCAATGTACATCCAGGTTAGGACTACCATGTAGGCATGTTAGCTGTTTTTTGTTTTTTGTTTTTTGTTTTTACAGAGAGGAAGAGAGAGAGATAGTTAGAAACATCAATGAGAGAGAAACATTGATTAGCTGCCTCTTGCACATCCCCTATTGGGGATGTGCCGACACTCTATCCACTGAGCCAAACTGGTTTCGGCCATGTTAACTGTTTTGCATGGCCTTTACACCTTTGCATATGTCTAGATCGAGCATTCTTACCTTCATTACTTGGGGAAAGAAATTATGGTAACTTTCCAATCTTGAACTTGGGTATGTACTCCTCTGTGAAATCTTCTTTTCTCCTCAATTCCTTCCTACAAAAGAAGTTGCCCATTTCCTCCTAAGTGCAACTATTCTACCACAAACTGAGCTAGCTCCCAAAACTTACTGTGTTGAAATTGACAACTAGGCTGTGAACACTGTTTATAAAAGTCTATACACATATGTATATTCGTCAATGTTGAAAAAAAGATCTGAAAGTATATCCACCAAATTATCAGGGATTGTCAGTCTTGAGAGAGGGATTAGGGTAGAAGAATACATGCTTAGTTAACTTCTACATTGCTTTAATTTTTAAGCAAGTCTGGATTATAACAGTATCAAAAATAATCTAAGACAGGAAAGTATTGCATTGTGTTATTTTGCTCTGTGATTCCTCCTGAGGTGACTGCCACATGTCATCTCAGTCATTATCCTAATTTTGTGTTCTGTCTTCTCTTATCCCTCCCCCTCCTCTTTCTCTTTTATTTTTTCTTTCCCAAATCCACTTATGGCCATAGCATTATTAGATGACAGAGAAGGCACAATATTTACTTGCCTCAATCTCAGACTTGCCTTGGTGCTGTAAGGAACAGGTATCATCTTTTCCTGAAGAACTCTTTATTGAGCCATTATAAATGTGAACATATAACAGGAAGAGAGACTGTTTTTCTGCTCTAACGCTATGTATCTTTTCTTATCCAGGTAAACGACGGAATTCAAGTTTTGAAGGATGGGTAAAGACTTCCGTTACTATTTCCAGCACCCCTGGTCTCGCCTGATTGTGGCTTACTTGGTGATCTTCTTTAACTTCTTAATATTTGCGGAGGACCCGGTTTCTCATAGCCAAACAGAAGCCAATGTTATTGTTGTTGGGAACTGTTTTTCATTTGTAACCAATAAATACCCCAGAGGAGTTAGCTGGAGGCTCCTGAAGGTGCTACTATGGCTACTCGCCATTCTCACAGGACTAATAGCTGGCAAGTTTCTGTTCCACCAGCGTTTGTTTGGTAAGTACCCATGAGCTATAATGCTGTACTTATTTAGTTTCTATTCTCCAAAGGAGAGCTTTGTTATTTCTAAATGCAAAATTTAAGATGCATTTCCGATCGCTCCCTAGCCTTACCAGTAATTTGGTATGCACTGTTGTAGCTAGGCTCTTCAGCTACTCTCTGTTTAATAGTTTATTTTGTTTGATATGGCCTAAGGGAAATTATCATGAAGTATGATACCAGACTTCATTTAAAAAAAATGGCTTTAGAAAAAAAAATAAGTGAACGTTTATGTAATCTTGTTTAGGAATAGATGAAAATAACCCTTTCCCCCATAAACAGTACTTAAGTATGATGTGGTAAATAAATAAAAATTGGCTTTAGGATGCTTATTTTGAGCTTATTCAACTACAGAACAGTATATAAGTAAGAAATATCTCGGTGCTAAGCAACAGAAAAAGAGACTAAATTAGTTCAAGATAAAAAGATAATTCACTGTAAGGATTTTGGGATGTTTCACTGAGAAGAGGGATAGGGTTTACTTTGATAATTGGGATAAATGGAACCAGGGGCTTGAATTTGGTCAGGTGTTCTTTGTCTTGACTCCTCTATCAGTCTGCTTTATTCTCTGCATTCACATTGAAGATCATTTTACATTCACACAGAAAGACTGGCTTGACTCTCTTGATCCCAAGTTTAAACATTCAAGGAAGCAGCTCACATTGACCAGTTTGAGTATGGTTTCCACCTCTGGCCTAATTCATTTTGGCCAGGGGGTGGGCAATATTTATCTCACCAATATTCATTGATCACTTATTATATACCAGGCACTATTCCAGGAAGTGAATAAAAAAGATAAGATATCTGCCCACATAAAAATGTATATCCTACAGGAGAAAGTCACTAAGCAAGTAAATTTCTAACCTGTACCATAAAGGGGCAGTAAGTGCTATGGGGAATAAAGTTTTAAATGCTGCTTGGTCACTTCGGAAGAGAACTTGGTAATAGAGCTTTGAATTTAGCACTTATAAGATCAGAGGTGACTTATTGTGAGTGTTTTCAGTCTAGCAGTTTGGTTAGAAACAGATGGAATTAATTTAAATAATAAATGAACAAACTATGTACACACATATATAGTCACATGTAATATTACATATATATTCTTTTCAATCTCTACTTTCTTCACAAACTATTGCCATCTGGTTCTATTACATAAATGTATAAAATATACAGATTGTCTATTTATTATATATGTACATAGTTTTAATGTTTGATGAAGAAAATGAGAAATGGGAAGTGGCTAAAAATGGAAGGCCCGCCCTAAACGGTTTGGCTCAGTGGATACAGTGTCAGCTTGTGAACTGAAGGGTTTTTGGTCAAGGGCACATGCCCTGGTTGCAGACTCCATCCCCAATGGGAGACATGCAGGAGGTAGCCAATTGATGATTGTCTCTCATTGATGTTTCTATCTTTCTCTCCCTCTCCCTTTCTCTCTGAAATCAATAAAAGTATATATATATTTGAAAAATAGAAGGACCAATGGTAGATTTTTGTCATTGGTTTTGTTGGTGATTTTATTTGAGGAGTGAGATTGATGGATCTGCTTATTGTTGTAAAGGAAGGAGCTAGACTGAAGTGCAGGTGAGGATATGGAAGAAAGATAGCATCTCTGAAGGTTTCTTTGGTTTGTGACTTAGGACACAGATAGAAATAGTGGCCTTCAGAGGCCAGGAAGAGAGACTCCTGTTCCTCAGAAATAGTCATAAATGAAGTGAAAGGTGGTACTCGAATGGGTCTGTTTGAAGTGGAGGAGCAGAGAGGGTGAATGTGCTGCCATCTGGTAATTTCTACTTCGCTATGAAGAAGGAAGAGCTAAAGATGGATATGGAAAGAGTTGAATGGCATCCATCTGAAGTGTTGAGCAGTGTTCTCTATGAGTGCTCTGTCATCTGGAACAGAAGTTGAGAGTGATTCATCTGGGTGGGGACTCTTCTGGCTTGTGGTATTGGAAACAAAGGATGGAACATAAATGGAGAGTTCTAATAAAAGAGTTATTGATGTGATTAATAGGGGATCTGGTTGGATGTGGAAAGGAAGTGGGGAAGATGATAGTCTGGGAGGAGTGAACAAGAGCCTGAAGATTTGGCTGAAATTGAACAGGTAAAATGAAAGTAGGAAAAGGGAAAGAATTGATGGGTGTGGTTAAAGTTCATATTCTAACATAATTACAGCTATTTGTTGTGGGGATTTCCAACTAGGGAATCTTTAGAGACTGGGTGCTGGAGTGGAGAGTCAGGCCATTGATACAGAGGATATCTAGGAACTGGGTATTAGTTGGGCCTTCCACCAACCATTGAACAAGCATGGTATCCTGAGTAGTAATCGTATGGATAGAAGAGATTTAAAATTGGGGGGGGGGGGGCAGGGCAGGAGAGGAGGCAGTGGGTTAGCAAAAATGGGTGGAGGGTGCTGGGCAGACAAAACAATAGATATCCCTTACAAGTGATGGCTGGATATGTTTGTCACCCATTCAGGAAATTTGCTTAGTGTAGAAAGTTAAGGTGAACTTAGATAAAAGCTTTCTGCCTATATTAAGGATGAATTGAGAATCATAGTTATGGTATTAATAAGAGCAGATCATTTGGTTTTGTAATTGCTACATTTTAAGTTATCCCATTGCAAAGTCTTACCTCCTATACAAAAATCACATTTTAGTCATAAATTACTTTGTAATTCTCCTGTGGGAATAAATAATTCACTCTAGATTTCAAGTGGTATATTGAGTACAAATGATTTTAAAATAGGGTAAAAGTGTATCTTTTTAAAATTTATTTTTGCTTATTATAGGGAAGATAGTATTATACAGTCAGTTTTATCATTTGTATTTGGCAGTATGGCAATTTCTTTTAAAATATATTTTTATTGATTTCAGAGAGGAAGGGAGAGGAGAGGGAGAAACATCAACAATGAGAAAGAATCATCTATCAGTTGTCTTTTGCATGCATGCTATGGGGATTGAGCCTACAACCCAGGCATGTGCCCTGATTGGGAATTGAACTGTGACCTTATAGTTCATAGGTTGATGCTCAACCATCAGAGACACACTGGCTAGGCAGCAATATGGAAGTTTCCTTCTATTTTTTTTCTTACTAAAAATCTACAAAATTATATGGGGTATTAGAGAAGGGATGATAACCTTTTGCAAATTTTGATGACAAGTAGGTAACTGGACTCCTGATTGAATTTTCTAATAAATTTGAAACTTGTCTACTCCTGTTATCTCCCTTCACCTTCCTTTATGGCCATTCTTTCTTCCTTCACTCACAAGCATATGCTTCTAAGAATTTTCTCCTTCATAATTCATTTTGGATTTTGCTACCAAAAATAATTTTTCTACATGGCTAAATGTCTCCTGTCACTTACAGAATAAAGTCTTAACTCCTTTGATTGATATTCGAAGCTCACTATCATCTACTCCTGCTTGACTTCAGACTTGATCTCTTGACATTCTATACTATGCAGAATTATTTGCTGATTCTCCAACCTGTGGGAAAGATGCTAGATTGAAGTGTAGACAAAGATATAGAAGAAAGACAGCATCTCTGAAGGCTTCTTTGGTCTGTGACTTAGGACACAGGTAGAAGTAGTGAACTTGGAGAGGACAAGAGGAGAGACCCCGTCTGCTCAGAAATAGTCTTGCATGCTTCTTGCCTTTCTTTGCATGTGTGCCCGTCCCATACCCATCATGCTCATCTCCTCCTTGTTAAGTTGGTGAATTTCTCTTTTCCCTTCATATCCAAGTTCAAGCATTATGCCCTCGGGAATGCACTCTTTAACTTCCTTCTGTCTGTTGTCATCCCCCTGGCTTCCACTTTTGTCCACATGCACCAAAGAAAGTACATCAAGTACATCAGGGGACTCTGGAACTGGCAGCCATGCAACATTGTGGAAAAGAATCCAAAATTTAATGCAATCATACTTGTTGTTCTTATTGGCTTGGAATGTGACAAATGTTTTCTCCTTTGTTCCCAAATCATTAGCACTTATACACAATTCATTTTTTTAAAGGCCATATTTAAACCTTTAACCATTTGTTCACATAAGCTTATGGTAGTTGATGGTGATGATGGGGTATGTATGTTTAGAGGAGGAGCTGTTAATTGCAAGCATAGACATTTTTGTTAGTAGAAATTGGAATGGTTTACAAAATAAACAATTATTTTGTGAGATCAGTTAGTTATTTTTTGTCATTCTCTTATGAAATGCCAAATAAAAATATTAAATAGAATGCCACTACCCCTTTATGTAATTAACTTGTGAGTCTTCCCTTGTTTATTATGATGGACAGTCTCTTCTTAAAAGACTCCAAAAGGACAATACAATATCGCCAATTTTATTTATTTTTTTTATTATTTTTTTTAAATATATTTTATTGATTTTATACAGAGAGGAAGGGAGAGAGATAGAGAGTTAGAAACATCGATGAGAGAGAATCATCGATCAGCTGCCTCTTGCACACCCCCTACTGGGGATATGCCCGCAACCAAGGTACATGCCCTTGACCGGAATCGAACCTGGGTCCCTTCAGTCCCCAAGCCGACGCTCTATCCATTGAGCCAAACCGGTTTCGGCCAATATCGCCAATTTTAAACAGGCATTCGCTCGCTTCATCCAATCAAAAACTCTCTCTGATCATTGATATTTCTCTTTCTCTTTCCCTCTCCCTTTATTTCTGAAATCAATAACATTATATTTAAAAAATGAGGAAGAACAAATGTTTTGTGAGCACATAATTTAATTCAGCTCATTGGTTGTAACTTTTATCTTTTAATGTGACAAACATTTCAATGTTGTGGCTATTTTAGTGAACACCATGAAACTCTCTCATGGTCTGTAATTTGTAGGGGGAATTGTACCAAATAAAAATAGTGACTCTTGCAAATTGGAAATTACATGTTATCAGAGTCAGAAATGATTAAGTGCATTTTAAATTCTCTCTCTCTCCCATTCACTTTATG